CCCAATAAATGGACGACAAACAGTTCTGGGAGTCAACTGATTTTTATTCAGCAAAAGCTGGCTTTTATGCAACTCCCCATGCAAGTTTTTTTTAAAATCATATTCCAGGGGTTTATCCCTGGTGGACCTTATTGGGGACAAGGGACAAATCAACAGTTTACAGACTCCTCCTCTGTGCCTGGGAGATAATTGAGTAAGGACAACTATATAATTAAATTATCTCCCAGGTACAGGAAACATACAATATTTATAAACGGTATAAAATTAATTGTAATGGTTCAGAACCCCACGAAAGTTACTTCACCGAATAGCTTGGATCTGACCGAACACTTTGTCAAAATATCACTCAGATCCATTTGATAGTTTACAAACGCCATTCGAGTGAAGTTTGGACCGGTCGGCCACGAGGTGAAGCCCCAAAACAGTTCCAGAGAATTTTAGGCTTTGGCTGGTCTTCTTTCTGGAGTTCTCATAGGAATGCTGACCAAAGCTCCCCCTGGCTGCTAGCATACATCTCTTCCTCCTGTTCAGTAGTTTAGGTCTCCTGAACAACGTTCTCCTAATGGTTTGGGAAAGTAAATTGGCAGCGTTATCAGTTTGCTGGGTGTTCATGGAGTAGAGTAGCCGATATTAGTTCCAGGTCGTCGCCGACCCTCTACCGCTGCCCACGTTCGAGAGACAAAATGGTCAAAATGGTTTGTTTGCACACGTGCATTCGGTAATACGAACGGCAGCCACCCAGGGGAAACACTTTCTTTAACAAGAAATATGTGGTTAGCAGCCAGGGGTGGTCAGTTATTAAATGATGCAAACCCAGAGACCACACAGATGGGGTTCGGTAAACGAACCGGATGGTACGGACAGCCGAACAAAGGGAATGAAAAAGGGTATAACCACGTTCCCTCTGCTACAAAGTTTTCTGTCCATTTTTGACTGCTTGATGATTATTAATTGGTTTCAAATGAGTTTCTCACAGAGAATAACATCTCCCTTTTCATTACTACCGGGCTCTGTCTGTCTGTCTGTCTATCTGTTGCCAACTCATTCTAGCATTGTGTCTTTCTCCCTCCGTCTCTCCATATAATTATTTATTTTAGTGCACTACACAGAACCCCATGGACAGAGGTGCAACTAGAAACCACAGGGCCCTGGTGCAAAACCCCCGCCCCCTCCCCTATACATATTTCCCCCCCGCCCCTCCAATTGTATAATATAAAACACATACAGATACATACACAGACACACATGCTAATACACAGTCACACAGAATGACACACATTTAGATACACAGGCACACACTGACACACATGCGGATAAACAGAGAGATACACATATAGACAAATGCAGATACACATACACAGAATGACATGCATAGAAATACAAACAGTGACACACATACAAATACACGGGGAACACACTGATACACATGCTATCAGATACACATACAGACACACATATGCAGATACACATACAGACACATATGCAGATACACATACTGACACACAGACACACATGCAGATACACAAACACACTTAATGCCAAACATTCAGATACACAGAATTATTCGCATACAGATACAAACAGTGACACACATACAGATACATAGGGGCACACACTGACACACATACAGACACAGATATACATAAAGAACAAATATGCAGACAAACAGATACACATACAAACAGATACACATACAGACACAGAACACACAGACACACATACAGAAAGATACACATATAGACATGCATGCAAATACATAGACACACTTAATGACAAACAATAAGATGCACAGAATGGCACACGTACAGATATAAACTGTGACACACATACAGATACATTGAGGGGACACACACTGACACACATTCAAACAGATACCCATACAGACAAACAGATACACATACAGACTCACATGCAGACAAACAGATACACAGACAAAGATACACATACAGACACACACACGCACACACATACAGATACAGACACACACACATACAGACACACAGAGATTCACACACACACACACACACACACACACACACACAAGCAATTTAGTCAACCTCTCCTACCTTAAGGTGCAGGAGGGTGACTTGCCTGGGGTTCAGTGGTTGTGTGTGACACAGATACAGACATTCACACACATAAACTGTAAAAATTTTTAGTCACCCTCTCCTACCTTAACGTGCAGGAGGGTGACTTGCCTGGGGTCCAGTGACTGCCTTCAGCTGATGGGAGTCAGAGCTCCCATTCTGACTCCCTCTTAGCCTTTGCCTGCGTTCTCCTCCCGCTCGGCTATGTGTATGCTGGGAGGAAGTGACAGCTTCTTCCCAGCGGGCGCTCTGACGTCATCAAACGGGGCCCTCTTAAAGCACCACAGCACTGACCGGGCCCCAGGAAATCCATTGCCATCGGGTGGTCCCTTCATTGCGACCTTGGGGATTGCTCCTGGAGTGATGGGCCCGGTTGTAGCTGCGATAGGTTGCTCCTGCATTTTGAGAGTCTGTCCTGGGTCTCGGGCACCCTCATTCCGTGACAATGTAGTGTCCTGGAATGAGCTGAGCTGCACCGCCGCCGCTGCAGTGGCAGATCTGTAGCAACAGGGCAATTGCCCCTCCCGAGAAATTAGTGCAGCTCCCATAGGGGAACTACCTCATCAGGGGTCCGGTCGGGTGCTGCAGCTGTTTGGCAAACCAGGCCCCTTTAATGTTGCAGAGAGTGCTGGGAGGAAGTGACTGTTAGTGTCAGTATATATATGTGAGTGTATGTGTATCTGTGAGTGTCAGTGTGTATCTGTGAGTATGTGTGTGTCAGTGTGTGTGTATCTGCGAGTGTCAGTGTGTATCTGTGAGTGCCTGTGCATCTGTGAGCATGTGTGTGGATCTATGTGTGGGTCAGTGAGTATATATGTGTGTGTTTATCTGTAAGTGTCAGTTTATATATGTGAGTGTGAATGCATGTGTATCTGTAAGTATGTGTGTGTCAGTGTGTATATGTGAGTGTCTGTGCATCTGTGAGCATGTGTGTGGATCTGTGTGTATGTGTGTGTCAGTGTGTGTGTATCTGTGTGTGTCAGTGAGTATATATGTGTTTGTTTATCTGTAAGTGTCAGTTTATATATGTGAGTGTGAGTGCATGTGTATCTAAGAGTATGTGTGTGTCAGTGTGTATATGTGAGTGTCTGTGCATCTGTGAGCATGTGTGTGGATCTATGTGTGTGTGTGTGTATGTGTGTCAGTGTGTGTGTATCTGTGAGTGTTAGTGTATATATGAGTGTGTGTGTATCTGTGAGTTTCAGTGTGTATCTGTGAGTATGTGTGTGTCAGTGTGTTTGTATCTGTGAATGTCAGTGTGTATATGTTAGTGTCTGTGTATCTGTGAGTGTGTGTGTATTTGTGAGTGTCAGTGTGTATAAGTGAGTGTCTGTGCATCTGTGAGCATGTGTGTGTGTGTCAGTGTATCTGTGAGTGTCAGTGTGTATCTGTGAGTATGTGTGTGTCTAAGTAGCCAGTTAATGTTTGCAGAAATACTGAAAAATGCTCTGGCAGATATGTTTTTGCCAGTCTCAAGTATAAATTTGATGAAATGCACTCGTGAAAGTAAGTGTCCCTGAATGGCAGTTAGGAAATGTGGTCACCCTAAGCTGCGGCCCCTACGACCGCAGTAGTTCCACCACAGCCCACGGACCCATCAGAGATACAGCAGAATAGAAATCTCCAGCAATATGCAAACATCCCCAATGTTTTTTCTGCACGTGATGAGATGCAATAGCCATTTACTGAACTATATATAAGCATGTTTTTTATTTTCTTTGTTGTAACAGTCTGCCCCCCCTCAGATTGTCAAATTGTTCTGTTTGTCAGAGAACATAATATTTTTATCTCCAGCAAATGGCCTCACCAGGGGATCTCTGATATTACCAAATGTAGATGTTTGCATTGATGGGTACATATAGAGGTTATCATGTCAATTTAGTAGGGATCGTAAATAGCCTCGCTGCTGCTCAATTCAGTTATGGCCAGAAAACAGTTTAAAGATTTGTTATATTCGCTTTCACGAGATGCGGTGGATCTTTTTTCCAACACACAGCTACGGAAATACTTTAAACCTGTGAAGTTTAGCTGTAAAACACAAGATCGGATACCGTGATAAATAGTACAAATAGTAAATAGAACAATTAACAAGATGCCATAAAAGATCTCGCCAAATCACAACATAATAAATAATAATAACCCCTTTCAGGATGGAGTCAATAGTACACGTTCTGATCAAAACAAAACGTAAACAAAAACTGGAATTTGCGCTGTATGTCTGTTCAACTGTAATTCACCTATGTCACATTAAAGGACCACTCTAGGCACCCAGACCACTTCAGCTTAATGAAGTGGTCTGGGTGCCAGGTCCAGCTAGGGTTAACCCATTTTTTAATAAACATAGCAGTTTCAGAGAAACTGCTATGTTTATTAATGGGTTAAGCCTTCCCCCAAAGCCTCTAGTGGCTGTCTCATTGACAGCCACTAGAGGCGCTTGCGTGCTTCTCACTGTGATTTTCACAGTGAGAGCACGCAAGCGTCCATAGGAAAGCATTGTAAATGCTTTCCTATGCGACGCTGAATGCGCGCGCAGCTCGCCGCTGCTGCGCGCATTCAGTCCACGGGCGGAACGGAGGAGGAGAGAAGGAGGAGAGCTCTCAGCGCTGGAAAAAGGTAAGTTTAAACCCCTTTCCCCTTTCCAGGGCGGGAGGGGGACCCTGAGGGTGGGGGCACCCTCAGGGCACTATAGTGCCAGGAAAACGAGTATGTTTTCCTGGCACTATAGTGGTCCTTTAAGTGCACCCACACTTATTATATATCATTTTGTTCAGGAGAAACAGAGCTTTAATTTATCATTAACTATTCATAAATGGAACATAATTTATTATGAATAAAATTTTAAAAAATGTGAGAAAATAAGATTTTTTTTTTACATTTGTATTTCCGTCTGACATTTTAGCTGTGAATGTAATAATACTGTTAGGTTTTACTGCAAAAAAATGCATATATTTGTAATCAACGATGTCTCACAAGTACAACAGTACCCCCCATTAACAGGTTTTATGGTGTTTTGGAAAGTTACAGGGTCAAATATAGAACATTCCATTTTCAAATTGAAATTTGCCACATTATTAATGTTACCTTTGAGACGGTGTGGTAGCCCAAGAATGAGAATTACCCCCATAATGGCATACCATTTGAAAAAGTAGATAACTCAAGGTATTGAAAGTGGGGAATGTTTAGTCTTTTTTAGTAGCCACTTAGTCACAAACACTAGCCGGGAAGGCTAGTATACCGGCCGCTCCAGGGGCTTCAGCCATTACAGCGTTCTATGCCGCCGCAATGGCTTTAAAGCCCATTTAATGCTGGGCGGCATAGAACGCCGTAACTGCGTTAAGGGGATAATCAAGAAAAAAGCCCAAGGAACCCCAAAACACAGGAGAAGCCAGTAAATGACCTCTTCTCCACCACATGGGCTGTGGGTTTTCGAGTATTATTAAAAAAATAGCAAAACAACAAAAAACATGGATTCACATCAATAATTATGTTACTTTTAACTGATATCTTTAAAGGGACACACCAGACCCCAAGAGCACTTTAGCTTGCTGAAATGGTTTATGTGTGTCCTATTTTTATTATTTCGGAAAAAGTTCAGATTTTAATAGAAACATTCACTTTTTTTAAATTAACCACCTGGCTGTCAAACAGACAACAGGTCCTGTTACTTCATGGTTTTGTCTGTGATTGGACAGACACAGAAAGTCTGGGCTGGTTTCGAAGGGGCGGGCTTGCAAAGGCAGCTGACAGGAGATCTGCAGGTTTTCCAGATATAACCCCATTATTAAATACACGCACGTTTTCATTTGGGGTTTATCTACTAAACATTTTTTAAATGTATTTTGTATTCGGGCAGTGGAGTGACCCTTTAACATAATGCTTTAATAGTGCACAAATAGTAAATCAAAACACACGTGACTTAGGCAGCACAGCATTCTGGGTTGCCTAGTGTCAATTCTGTGCATAAATTACGTCTGTGGTCAGTGTGCACTGCACGCTGGTAACAGACCTAACTGCTTCTCTCTTGCAGGAAGAGCTTCGGGGAGCTTCGTCCAGGGCTGGATTAAGGTGAGTGAAACTTTAGTTTAAAACACTCTTTGACTGTTTTTCTAGGGGGTGATATATAAATGATGCCAATAGGACATTATTCTATTAACAGTGAAAACAGGTTGGAGATAACCTTTAATACTAATCACTATGTGTATTACCCCATGTCAGTCACTAGGGGTCACTATCACTACACATCTTATTCATACATGATGTGTGCTGATGCCTATTTAGGTTATTCATCAAGGAAAGAGTTTTAAATGTAATGCCCCAAGTTGCCCTCTGGGAGTTCCAGTGTCCAGAATGTATAAGCAGAACGGGGGTCTGAAGCTAAACAGCTAAAAATAATGCAGTTACTGATGATCCTGACGATCACGGCGTAGCAAGTGAAACGCACCACAAGTTCTGTTTTCTTCACTGATATGTGTTTTATATACTGCACTCATGACTGTCACATAAATAGGGATACTGTGTTTTATTTAGCGTGTTGGCCAGGGCTAGCACAGGAAATAGCCTTTCTTGGACACTGCCTATAGCGTCTGCATTACTTTGAGCTGTTGAGCCTCGGACCCCCTTTCTGTTTATACATTCTGGGCACTGGAACATCCAGAGGGCAACTTGGAGTATTATGTTTAGAAACTCTTTCGTTGATGAATTTACTAATTAGGTATCAGCACATATAATGTATGATTGAGATGTGTAGTGATAGTGACCCGTAGTGAGTGATATGGGGTAAAGACTTAAAAGGATTAGTATTAACTTTTAACGTAAATGAACACTATAGGGTCAGGAACACAAACATGTATTCCAGACCCTATAGTGTTAAAACCACCATTTTGCCCCAACTTGCCTCCCTAAATATAGCAAAATCTTACCTTTATTGCAGTCTGCTGTTGCTGGCTCTGCCCCTGATCTGCCTGTGTGGCTGACATAATCAGAAGTTGTGGTCTGAGACAATCACAATGCTTCCCCATAGGATTGGCTGAGACTGACAAAGAGGCAGATCAGGGGCAGAGCCAGCATGATTCAAACACAGCCCTGGCCAATTAGCATCTCCTCATAGAGATGAATTAAATCAATTAATCTCTATGAGGAAAGTTCAGGGTCTGCATGCAGAGGGTAGAGATACTGAATGTCAGTCAAACAGTGCAGCACTGACCCAGGAAGCACCTCTTGCAGCCATCTGAGGTACCCCTAGGCTGTAATATAAACAATGCATTTCCTCTGAAAACACAGTGTTTATGGCAAAAAAGCCTGAAGGTAATGATTCTACTCACCAGAACAAATTCAATAAGCTGTAGTTGTTCCGGTGACTATAGTGTCCCTTTAACTTTTAGTTAATTGTATGGCTTTTTGATTTATTATTTGAGCACTATTAAAATCATTTTCATGGCAATATTTGCCCTTTTTAGGATTACAATTAAAAGTAACTTTTAATTATTAATGTGAAACTACTTGTTTTTTTTTTTCAAATTGAAGAGCTCAAATCCCTTGATTGATAACTGTGGACCCTTCAGCAATTTTGTACGCAGGAAATGTCCAGTTAATACTTTAGGTATATAACACAATGAAAATAAAGACTGCTATAAGGGCCCGGGGAAGTACAGTCTCAATTGTTAAAAGCCTTGAATATTATACACTTTCAACTCTAATAGTATTACATTTGTAATAGATACATGTGTAGGGGGTTCAAATATTCTAAAATATAAATCTGTAAAAATCATTCTTACCTGTCAATGCATGGAATACAGATCTTAATTCTTCGATCAAATAAAATAGGCAAAATTGTATCCCATAATGAAAAAATAAAATAAAAAATCTTGAATTATTAAAATAAAATGCTGAAACAAAATGTCCTTCATCTCCACCTCCTCTGGTCAGATGCTTCAATGCATACTGAGCAATTAAGGTGGGGAAATCTTGTATTGATCTTCCCAGCCATGAATACTCATTAGGAGCTCTGTGATTGGTTGGCTATACGCATTACTGGGTCTAGCTTCACACGAGACGTGCCCGGCAATGTCTATTAGACGTATAAATATGTATATCTATTAACATTTTCTGGCAAAGATCGGGTGAAGTGAAACTTGTTTTCAGAGCATTGTGATTCCAAACCTAGGCTGGGACGCCAAAAGTAAGCCCATTGGGATCTTACAAATCAAGCTGCTAATATCTGCCTAGATTAATAATCATATTGTCCTTAATTTGTGATGACGTCAATAACATAATGAAAATAATTTCTTACAAATACAATAAGGGTGTATGATCAATCAGGGATTTTCTCATGTACTGCTCTGTAAGTTGCGCCATTGAATAAGACTTTTAAAATGGTCTATAACGTGTGTTAATCATTTGTTACGCATCATTTGCTTTTAACCGTATATTAAACATTTAGTAACTGATATCACAATCAGGTTCAGTCGTGGGAAACACATCGCATTGAATTGAGAAAGTCAAATTGTTTCTCACAATCTCTTACTGTTGGCAGACAGGTACAAAAGCCAGAGTTTTCGTTTTTTTCTTACCTTCTCTACGTTATTCACCCCCATAAACTCTGACATTGTGTGAAGTGAAGGAACAAGAAACGGTTATTTCTCTGAAAGTTGCTCTTTAAGGGAAAGTAGGTATGATTTCTGGAAACTGTTGTAAAGCATTGCTGCCCACATAGTTTGATTTGAGCTAAGATGCAAAGACATCTTCTCTATTATTAATTTTTTTTTTCATTGTTATTTACTTCTGTTATAATTAACATGTTTGTTATTATACAGTCTAAAAATATTTTAGAAAGTCAGCAATTTTTTTTTTTTTTTTAAATTGATAAGATTCAAAGAAGTGTTAGTTCCAGGAATTCTATGATTCATTTTTGTTGGAATATAGGAGATACGTAAATATGTTAATAAAATCCTGATGAGTCAGGGCCCATCTTTACTCCGTGAGAAAGAGATCAATTCATTTTAATTTAAAGCATGTATTTATTGTTTTTTTTTTTTGTTTGTTTATGCACACTTAATGGTTTACTTGCAATCACCGCTCATGCCAACTACCCAGAATTCCTCAGAAGGACACATGATATAACGTGACAAAAACAAACATTTCCTAAATGAGTGAGGTTTGGTAACTTTTAATGATACCTTAATTTTAAACTTGAATTGTAAGAACAATTACAATTTTAGGAGATATTCAGATGGGTTGTTGTTCCTCATTTTACTCTATAAATCCTTGCTTTTATTACTATGTCAGACTTCACTTGCTAAGGTCTCACTGTGATTACAGTTGCTTCTCGTGATCAATAAAACTCTTTGCGGAACCTGGTGGTTATTCGATTATTACGCTAACACAGGGATTCTGTGTAAAGAGCAATTCTGGAAAAAAAAAGTAACTAAAGTGGAGCAATTAGCTGGAATATTCCACTGGTTGCCATGTAGGGAGAAATGGGAGGAGTGGTATATGGTCCGAGAAGAATGGGGTAGTGGAGGAATGTAGTGTATTATGAAGATTGAATGGAGTATGGAAACAAAAGATGTGCACTTGCAGGATATGGAGCCATCGGATTGCTCTGATTTGATGCATTTGAGTACTACAATCCCCAATTAAAGATAAGTAGCGTATCTCTTTGTCTAGGAGGAAAGTCCAATATATATATATTTAAGACAGAATACAAACACTGTATAATCTAGTAAATCAGGATAGTATAGGCCAGGAAAATAGGTGAATAAAATTGCTCTCACATGTGATGGAGCCTTCTAAATCACCCTTTTAAACAGGGGATTCATTGATAGTGCATTGTTTTCTCCGTGATATGTATATAAGAAAACAAAAAAGAAATATATAGAGCATATTGTATTAAAAGGAGTACAAGTAAAGGAAAATACACTTACTAACTTGGGAGCGAAATTTAAGCTTTGCCTAATCCATAGAACTTCAGTGGTACATACCCCATGGAAAATGGAGTTAGGAGATGTTAGGAATAAAACAGGATGGTCAAGAGATCTTATCTTAAAGAGACTAATAACAACTTTAAATACAATAAAATAAATAAAGTGATAAAAAACAGAATATAAAAGTAACACTGTTTAGTAATGGAGATATACTACATATTCTTAAGTGAGGATTGTGTTGCTCAAGTGCACCAAACCAGAGCAAGCCCATATCTTCATATTCTGGAAGTGCATAATTTTAGTTTCCCTCCTCCGTGCAATCAACATATTACACTATATTATCCTCCACTGCCCCATTCTTCTCTTTCCATATGTCATGGAAAGAGGCTATCTCAAGGTCCTACTTCCACTTCTCCCTACAAGTATCTCCTGGGAAAGAGAGATTCTGGATTGGGTTGCCAGGGTTGTTAAGTTGTCATTTTTCCCCACCAACACCATTTTAGGTGCTTGACCTTCCTGGGTGTATGTTTGTTTTAGTTTTTTTTGGTTTGGTTTCTATGTGATTGCTCTACTTTTTACACTTTTAAGTACATTTAAGCACTAAAACATATGTACAAAGAGGGGAAAAAAGTATTTGATCCCCTGCTGATTTTAAATGTTTGCCCACTGACAAAGAAATGATCAGTCTATAATTTTAATGGTAGGTGTATTTTAACAGTGGGAGACAGAATAACAACATCAAAAATCCAGAAAAACGTATGTTAAAAAAGTTATAAATTGATTTGCATGTCAATAAGTGAAATAAGTATTTGATCCCCTATCAATCACCAAGATTTCTGGCTCCCAGGTGTCTTTTATACAGATAACGAGCTGAGATTAGGGGCACTCTCTCTTAAAGGGAGTGCTCCTAATCTCAGCTTGTTACCTGTATGATAGACACCTGTTCACAGAAGCAACCAATCAATCAGATTCCAAACTCTCCGCCATGGCCAAGACCAAAGAGCTGAACAAAGATGTCAGGGACAAGATTGTAGATCTACACAAGACTGGAATGGGCTACAAGACCATCGCCAAGCAGCTTTGTGAGAAGGTGACAACAGTTGGTGCAATTATTTGCAAATGGAAGAAACACAAAATAACTGTCAGTCTCCCTCAGTCTGTTGCTCCATGCAAGATCTCACCTCGTGGAGTTTCAATGATCTGGTGAGAAATCAGCCCAGAACTACACAGACAATCTTTTCAATGATCTCAAGGCAGCTGGGACCATAGTCACCAAGAAAACATTTGGTAACACATTTCGCTGTGAAGGACTGAAATCTTGCAGCATCCTCAAGGTCCCCTTGCTCAAGAAAGCACATGTACAGGCCCATCTGAAGTATGCCAATGAACATCTGAATGATTCAGAGGAGAACTGGTTGAAAGTGTTGTGGTCAGATGAGACCAAAATTAAGCTCTTTGGCATCAACTCAACCCGTGTTTGGAGGAGGAGGAATGCTGCCTATGACCCCAAGAACACCATCCATACTGTCAAAGATGGAGGTGGAATCATTATGCTTTGGGGGTGTTTTTCTGCTAAGGGGACAGGACAACTGCAGCACCTGAAAGGGACAAGGGGCCATGTACCATCAAATCTTGGGTGAGAACCTCCTTCCCTCAGCCAGGACACTGAAAATGGGTAGTGGACAGGTATTCCGACATGACAATGACCCAAAACACACAGCCAAGAAAACAAAGAAGTGGCTCAAGAAGAAGCACATTAAGGTCCCGGAGTGGCCTAGCCATTCTCCAAACCTTAATCCCATAGAAAATCTGTGGAGGGAGCTGAAGGTTTGAGTTGACAATCGTCAGTTTTGAAACCTTAATCACTTGGAGAGGATCTGCATAGAGGAGTGGGACAAAATCCCTCCTGAGATGTGTGCAAACTACAAGACACGTCTGATCTCTGTGATTACCAACAAGGGTTTTGCCACCAAGTACTAAGGGGTCAAATACTTATTTCACTCATTAACATACAAATCGATGTATAACTTTTTTGACATGCGTTTTTCTGGATTATTTTTTTTTTGTTATTCTGTCTCTCACTGGTAAAATATACCTACCATTAAAATTATAGACTGATCATTTCTTTGTCAGAGGGCAAACTATCAAAATCAGCAGGGGATCAAATACTATTTTCCCTCACTGTATGTGCATGTTGTATGTTGTTTTCAATAAATACCTACCATATGTGTGCAACGAAGTGTACTAAAAGTATCTATCTCAGATGATTGCATGTGAAGTGCACATACATTGGCCTTTCACAGGGCCTGGTGAAGTTGCTATGGTAATGAACTGGAAAATGCTCTCTAAGTACTGGTTGGCATCAGTGGGTCCTTGAGAAAGGCACTACTAACTGTGCCAAAGCATTGTGGTATGTTTGATACATGTGTCCAGCCCACTGAGGTACAATGCTACTTAGCTTCTATGCCTTTATCATTTATGTGTATGCTATATAGCCTTTATCACTAGTTTTTGTAGGATTGCAGTTTTGTTATTTTTACTTGTTTTTACTTGTTTTGGTCTTGTTTATTTTGTCTATACTGTATAATAAAGTGATTTGACTTATTAACTAAGGTGTGCATCTTTTTGCATACAGATATATGATTTGTTTAGGATTCCATGACTATCTGACAAATATATATTGGATAATTTATTAAAGAATCAAGAATAAGAGAGATTCACTTGCTGATTCTTGGTCTCATGGTACGATGACAGCCATTCTAAATGAAGACTCCCTTGCTTCAGATGAAAAGTAATTAAATGATTATAGACTACCTAGCAACCTGAACATCCACACGGGTAATTATAATACTGCTAGGCCATCCACTTGGGAAATATTAAAGCGCAGTATGCTGATTGGATGGAGTTTGGAAACAAGTTTATAACACTTGAGTACCAAGTCAGAGAGGTGAAAGAAGATGGCATAGCTACAGGGTGTAGTAACAGGATGCCATGACTCCTGAGCAGGATAAAGTACCAGAAGGGGAGTGGGATTTGAGATGCTCCTTCTGGACTTTCTCACTAATTTAGCTACTTATTCAATTCAGTTACACCTTTTCAAAAAGCTATAATATTAAAAGCCACAATTAAAATTTTTAATAATTATCAGATTTGCTGATAGTTAATATATGGAAAGAATAAAGACTGCTTCATTGTAATTTTGCGACCTTACTGTCTACCACTAGACTGTGACATCAACCTTTTGACCTGGTTCTAAGAGGTATTTTTTTCTACATTTTAGTTTGCTTAATATTGTGACAGACTGATTAACTGCTTATCATAGTGGTGAGCAAAATGTTGAACCTGAGATGTTGAAGAACTGCAGCTTCAATGATGCATTGACATTCTAAAGACTGACCTAAAATCATGGCAGTTAAAGTTCCAGAACATCTGGGGATCTACCGTTTGGCCAGTCCTGAGATCAAGTGTTCAGCTGTGTGGGGATAGTCTTGCAGTCACCGTCCCACACTCCAATGTTATGCTTACTTCCAGGTGTTCGTAAATTACCTGTAGCTTACCACTGCATGTTTCCAAGACCCGTCTCATTTTGTTCGGCCGATGACTGTGCTGTCGTTCTCTCAGTGGGTGCCAAGAGATGGCCAGTGAATGCATTTTCCAGGTTTCTTAGTCAAAGGTATACCGAAAACTTTGTTCTGATAGGAAATGGCTGGAAGTAGAGAAATAAAAAATACTATGGATTAAGATAAGGGGGAGTATGAGAAAGGTATTCTTGAAATTAAACCCCCCCTGAAATCTTACACTACTGATTAGGTATATTAAAAGTACAGATGGGTCTGACCACTAAAAGCTCCGTCTAGGATACAGTATCGTCAACTGCAGACTCCTGCAGGTCTAATTTGTATTGTTCCCTTTAGCATATGATGCTGTTTCTGTTCCACCAAGATCTGATCACATTAATGGATGACCATAACTACATTACTGGTTTGTCCACCACATTTGCAGACCCCCCCAGCCCCTCCCCCGCCATTATAAGGGGAGAATTTAGGTACGGTGGGCTGTATTAGCTAGTGGGTAACTGAACCTGAAGACAAAGCGTATCTACAAACAAAGAAAAATCAGACCTAATAGAGACACCTCAGGATGTTACAATTCTATTATATATATTATGCAGTATGCCAAGAGCAGGACAGCATTGTCTCAGAATTTCATTTAAAGAGAGGGAACAGTAAAAATAATCTGTCTTTATATGTTTATATATTACATATCTATTAAATATATATAAATACATGAAGTAGTCTGGGTACAGTGGGCAGTGGTCTTGGCATTTTAACCCTCTCATGTAAAACTCTGCAGTGTTTTACAAACAACAATGTTTACATTGCAGAGCGAAATCCACCTCTAGGTGCTGTCTTCCTTAAAGCCACTAGGGGTGCTATCATGGCACTGACTGAGTAAACCTCGGTCATGTGACATTGAAGCCCCCCATAGAAAAGCATTGTTTCAATACTTTGCTGTAGGGAACCTTGGATGAGTTTGCTGCTTGGATGTGTGTGATTAGACATGTGTGGACATGTGTGATTGGACGTGTGTGACTGGACGTGTGCGATTAGACGTGTGCGATTGGACGTGTGCGATTGGACGTGTGCAATTGGACATGTGTGAATAGACGTGTGCGATTGGACTTGTGTGACTGAACGTGTGTGATTGGACATGTGCGATTTGACATGTGCGATTGGACATGTGTGGACATGTGTGATTGGACATGTGTGATTGGACGTGTGCGATTGGATGTGTGCGATTGTGTGATTGGACGTGTGCGGTTGGACATGTGTGGACGTGTGTGATTGGACGTGTACGATTGTACATGTGTGGACGTGTGTGATTGGACGTGTGCGATTGGACATGTGTGGATGTGTGTGATTAGATGTGTGTGATTGGACATGTGCGATTTGACATGTGCGATTGGACATGTGTGAATAGACGTGTGCGATTGGACTTGTGTGACTGAACGTGTGTGATTGGACATGTGCGATTTGACATGTGCGATTGGACATGTGTGGACATGTGTGATTGGACATGTGTGATTGGACGTGTGCGATTGGATGTGTGCGATTGTGTGATTGGACGTGTGCGGTTGGACATGTGTGGACGTGTGTGATTGGACGTGTACGATTGTACATGTGTGGACGTGTGTGATTGGACGTGTGCGATTGGACATGTGTGGATGTGTGTGATTAGATGTGTGTGATTGAACGTGTGTGATTGGACATGTGCGATTTGACATGTGCGGTTGGATGTGTGCGATTGGACGTGTGTGATTGGACATGTGCGGTTGGATGTGTGCGATTGGACGTGTGTGATTGGACGTGTGCGGTTGGATGTGTGCGATTGGACGTGTGCGATTGGACGTGTGCGGTTGGACATGTGTGGACGTGTGTGATTAGACGTGTGTGATTGGACGTGTGTGAATAGACGTGTGCGATTGGACTTGTGTGATTGGACGTGTGCGATTGGACGTGTGTAATTGGACTGTTGTGGAAGAGGCCATGCCTCCTTCATGGGGACTATGGAGGAGAAGAGGTAAGTGAAAATGATTACTTTAATGGCACACACTGGTAAGGGACACATCTATAACTATGAGGGGGAAGATGTGTTAGATAAACAGGTTTGTATTCTTAAGGCTTTGATGTTGATAAAAGTTGTAGAAATATATAGCAATGTTGAGAATCTGTAAGCCATCTCGGGGTCGCAAAGACAAAGGGTTTGTTCCACTCAGAACAAATAAGGACAAACTATGACTAGGTCCAATTTATAGTACATGATATCACCATCTGAATGTCTGTTTTATATAAACTTTTTTTGTAAGTATAATAGGATGCCATGTGCCACTAAGAATCGAGGGTCTTTCTTCTGGACTTTGCCAGGTTTGTTGTCCTTTCTTTATTCTTGTCAGAGCGAAATGTTTCTAAGAATTGCTCTTGTTGCAGTATGACTGTTGGTACAGAAATTCGCATCATATAAAAATTATATTTAGTAAAATACATGCAAATCTGTGACCATTTCACACTAACGCTTTCTTCGATTTTCCATGACCTGTTACGGATGTGTTTTTTATGCAAGATAAAGTGATAAGTACAATATTATTATAACAAACGTGTGTGACATATAGGATTTATTAAAGCTAAGCACACTCTACCAAATTTATCTATCTTTTTCTAAAACGTGTGATCTAAGCACCATAACTACTGCATCACAATGTATTATTGCCGCTTATTGTATTATGTCAGCTCATTGTATTATTAGAGCTCAGTTTATTATCACAGTTCATTGAATTATTACAGCTCAGTGTATTATAACAACTCAGTTTAGTATAACAACGTACTTTGTTATTGCAGCTCATTGCAATATTATAGCCCGTTATTACAGCACATTGTGTTAATACAGCTCAAGTTATTATCATAACTCAGTGTGCTACACAGCTGCTGTAATATTACATCTTATTGCAAATATTACAGCTCAGTGTATTACTTCAACTTATTGTGTTATAACAGCTCATTGTATTTTACAGCAAATTATTATTATTATTATTATGATATTTATATAGCGCCATCAAATTCCGCAGCGCTTTACAATGGGTGGACCAACAGACATGTAGTTGTAACCAGACAAGTTGGACACACAGGAACAGAGGAACAGATGATATTGTTCACAGCTCAGAGTACTATTACAGCTTATTATTACAGCTTATTGTATTGTTACAGCTTATTGTATTATAAACAGCTTGTAGCATTATTACAGCTCACTAAATTATTGCAGCTCGGAGTATTATTACAGCTTATTGTATTATTACAGCTCAGTTTATTACTACAGCTAATTATATTATTATTTATTATATATTTATTATAATATAGATGAATAAATATAATATAGTTATTTATATAAATAATTTATAAATAAATGATTACAGCATATTGTATTATTACAGCTTATTATATTATTACAGCTCATTGTATTATTACAGTTCACTGAATTATTGTAGCTCAGTGTATTATTACAGATTATCGTATTATGACAGCCTATCGTATTATTACAGCTTCTTGTATTATTACTGATTATTATATTATTACAGCCTATCTTATTATTACAGCTTCTTGTATTATAACAGATTACTGTATTATAACAGATTATTGTATTATTACAGACTATTGTATTATTACAGTTTATTGTATTATTACAGCCTATCGTATTATTACAGATTATTGTATTATTACAGCTTCTTGTATTATTACAGTTTATTGTATTATAACAGATTATTGTATTATTACAGCTCACTGAATTATTGCAGCTCAGTGTATTATTACAGATTATTTTATTATTACAGCCTATCGTATTATTACAGCTTCTTGTATTATTACAGCTCATTGTATTATTACAGTTTATTGTATTATTTTAGCTCAGTGAAGTATTAAATATTATTTTATTATTACAGTTTATTGAATTATTGCAGCTCGGTGTATTATTACATATCATTGTATTATTACAGTTTATTATAATATTACAGCTCAGTGTATTATTACATATTATTGTATTATTACAGCTCATTGTATTATTTCAGCTCATTGTATTATTACAGCTCACTGAATTATTGCAGCTCGGTGTATTATTACAGATTATTGTATTATTACAGCCTATCGTATTATTAAAGCTTCTTGTATTATTACAGATTATTGTATTATAACAGATTATTGTATGATTACAGCTCATTGTATTATTACAGTTTGTTGAATTATTGCAGCTCGGTGTATTATTACATATTATTGTATTATTACAGCTTATTATATTTTTACAGCTCATTGTATTATTACAGTTTATTGTATTATTGCAGCTCGGTGTATTATTACATATTATTGTATTATT